GGGAGGGCTGGCCTAGGGGGCCCCTGACTCTGCATTCAAAAAGATGGGTGATTGTCCTTAATCAGACAATAGCTCTGATCTCAGTGTGAATACCTTTCATCACTTTACAGGGAATAGAGACCTCACTGGATTGATCTATAAACACAAAGATGAAGGGCTGGGCACCATGTTCAAGAAAAATTGGATTTATTTATTTTTGGCTCCTCTGGAGGGTATGTGTTCATTAAAAATTAGCTGCGCCCCGGATGCAAATTCTGCCATGGCGTGGAGCCTCTCTCATAGAGCAATGCACTGTGCAGTGGAGTTCCCAAGTCCAAATTTGCATTCAGCCCGCACCCAGCTTTGTCCACCTCTTCAGAAGCTCAGGATTGGCCGTCTCAGTGTGGCACCTCCTATGAGGTCCTTTGCTTAGTGATTTTCCTGTCATGGTGACAGGTTCTCTTTAAAGTATGTTGAAACGTTTATACCATAGCTTGCAGCCTGTAGGAAGCTTTCAAACCTGGTCAATGCACATGACTGAGTGTGGTGCCATACGTTGTGAAGTCCAACCCCAACACACTGTGCAACAGCGACCAATGCGCCCTGACGGCAGAGCGTTGCAATCCTCATGTCGCTGTGTGCCGGGGGGTCATTTGTGTGTTTGTGGTCTGTTGCCATGTGTTGGATGCTCATACATATTGCATAGGCGCGCTGCAATGCAAACCATGTTAACTGGCACCATAACACAACCCAACAGGCCACAAATATGTCCGGCCTTAAAGTAAACCATTTTATAATTGCACGCTCATGAACTGGAGGTGTCATGTTAAGAAAGAAAGTAGAGCTATATGCGGGGGAGGATAATATAATACATGTAAATATAATCTTTGTTTATATAAAGCAGAATGTTCAGATTCTGCCATAAGCCTGGCTATGACTGCTTCTCTTTAACCCATGTTTACATACAAAGGCAGAATAATGGTATTAACAATACACATAACTATAAATCATGACTTTAATGTTGTGTTGAAGCAGTTTGTTAAAATGTATTCATAGCCAAAGCTTTTATTTTTGATTTTGGATAGAGTGGAGAATGGATACAACCCTAACCCTGCCTGTTGCCCTTTGATGGGGATTTCCCTTCCCTTCACTTCCTGTCTTAGAGATGCAACAGAAAGGGAGAGGAAAGCTCTACAAAGGGAAGGAATCTGACAGCTCTGATGGAAACTCTAAAGTTTTAGAATATTTTAATGAAAACTGCAGCTTTACAAAGATTGAAAACAATATAAGAGCTCAGTGGTCGGTTTTACATCTAGTTTAAAGTGAAGTTCTACTTCTGCAGTCAGATTTGAGAAACCTCCAACCATCATTACTGAAGGCAGAAGTTTCTGGTCGCTCCCGGGATGGACTACAATCTCAATACAAATGAGTAAACTAAGCATGAGATTGTAGTCCATCCCGGGGGGCGGAGCTTGGAGCGGTGACTACTTTACAACACACACAGGGACCATGGGGAACAGACGTAGCCCCCCTCCAGAAGGAAGGACAGTGTCAGAGATGATTGGAGGATCTCCAGCCGAGTGATACACAAATAAGATACATTGTTGCTCAGAGTTCAGGGACTTGAATGTATTTTTAAGATTTACCTCCGGAGTTTAGTGTCACTTTAGGAATGTAGAGAAAGTTAAAGCTAAATTGTTACTTTACCTTCCACTGGATTTCATTCTGAATCATTCACATTTGATTCTGAAGATACGATGTTGCGATGTTATTAATGTCTTGAGGAAGGGACGGGCGAAGCAACCTGAATCTGCCGCCTTCTGTAATGCTGTAACGATATCGTTAGAAGAGTAAAGGAGGAAGACCTGAGAGGACTTTCATTGCTGGGATAATAATACAAACAGAAGTTCTCCCAAGTCTTTCAAAATAATACAAACTTGCTGGAAATCCTCTTCAATTGTGATGTGAGAATCATTGTCTGTACAACGTGTGTCTGGCTCATCCTACATAACGAGTCACCAACCTGAACCAAGCATGCAGCCATTGAAGTACCCTAGCATCTAGTGTGCCCGTCCTTGTTCAAGGTCAACGTCTAACCAGCTAGTGAAGGATCAGGAGCAGCCAGCGATGCCTGATCCCCATCGTTCTACGCCAGCATAACTTTTTCATCTTTTAACGTTTCACTTGGTGATATTTGCAATATAATGTTTTGTAGACATGTGCGATTCGTTTCGTTCCGAATAGAAATTCGGACGAATTTTCGGAAATTCGGACATTCGGATGTATCCAAATTCCAAATTACAGACATAACGAATGCAAACGAATCCGAATTTCCATTTCCGAAATTCGGTAGCGGTAGTTCGAACGTTCGTTTCGTTTTCTGTTCTTATTCGTTTCGTTCGTTGGAGCAAAGTGACATTAGAGAAGGAGAAAAATATTTTTTCCCCCTCAAATGTCACTTTGCGGCAAACGAACGAAACTAATAAGAAACTAATAAGAACAGAAAACGAAACGAACGTTCGGAATACCGCTACCGAATTTCGTCCGAATCCGAATTCCGAATCGACTTTCACACCCGAATCCCGAAAAACGAAATAACACAAATCCGAATTTAAAACGAAACAAACTAAACAAATTTTTTGGCAGTGCACATGTCTAATGTTTTGTATTTTCTGCTCTCGCTGCTAAATAATTATAATGTTTGTGGTAGATACTGAATGTTATAGCTTAGTGACTTGAGATGTTTGTGATCTGGAACTCATCGTGCTGTTCATGTCTTCCTGCAGCTACAACGTAGAGAGCAGTATCTGGAATGTGGTGCCTGTCCTGCGGGGGCCCCTCCAGCGATATGGACACTCCCTGGCCCTATATCAGGTGAGCGCACAGTCCACTGGATGTCTCCTCTGTCTGTCGGTTTCATAAATTATACTTTTTAATGTTACTCTTGACCTTTTCTCCTGCCGGTTTGAGGTCATGTCTCCGTGTTCTTCATCTTAGGTTTATATTGAAGGTCTAACTAATGATCTATATCAGTGGTCTCAAAGTACTGGCCTGCGAGCCGGTACTATGTGGCCCGCAGCCAGCTCACAAGTCAGGTACGCGGTCACGGACTGCATACCAGACTTGTGGGAGCAGCTACATGGTCTGCATCTCTGTCGGATGCAGACTGCAGAGTTGCTTCTGTGCCGGCACTCGGATTGATTAGTGAGGTTTGCAGCAGACCTTACCAATCAATCACCAAGGATCGTGCCTCCTCACAGCCTCCTCCCTGCAAAAAGGTAAGCAGGAGAGGGGGCTCTGTAGTACATTTTACATGGGGGGGGGGGGG